TTTAAGTTTTTTTTTTTTAAATTTTGTTTTATTATTTTTTTTGTATGTGTACCATCAAATCGGATCTGACTGGTACAGGAGAAGATTGTCCCTCCTTCTCCATCAGAGCATCTGGTGGATTCGAACCGTGTACCACTGGGATTGCATTGCAGCTTCTTGCCACTAAGCCAAATTTAAAAAGTCTTTTTAATAGCTTGTCCCATGACATTGGCTACAGTATTTACAGTGTGTCAGCCTTCTCATTATTTCTGTTCTTTTTGCTTTGTTTTCATTATCTAGGTCCACTGCCCTTCCTTGGTTTATCTTTGTTTTAGAGTCAGTGTTGACCATTTGATCTCATATTGTTTAAGTAGATTATTTGCGGGAACACAGCCTTGCTGAGTGATACTGTTTTATTATTGTAGAAGCCAGATTTCATGACTATCGAAGGGCAGTAGTGCCAGGAGTTCCTAGTCTCTATTGGTCTAGTAAGTCTGACTCTTTTTTTAGGAATCTGAGTGTTGTTGTACATTTTTCTCCCTTTCTGTCCACTGCCTTCTGCTGGGGCCCTCATCTGAATGGTTGATGGTAGTAGGCAGGCACCATTTAGTTAGTCTTGGACTACTTTCCTTGAATAGGTTAAACCAGGCTGCTCCTTGGAGTCAAGGATTCTGAGGCTCCGCCTAACATACTTTGGACATGTTGTAAGGAAGGACGGGTCCTTGGAGAGGGACATCATGCTTGGGAGGGTGGAGGGACAGCGCAGGAGGGGAAGGCCCTCGATGAAGTGGATTGATTCAGTGACTGGGGTAATCGGGACGGAGACAGTGCAATTGGCACAGGACAAAGCAGAGTTTAGGGCTGTTGTACACAGGGTCGCTATGAGTCACAAGCGATTTGATGGCACATAACAACAACAACTTTCCTTGATACTTCAGTTTTCTTTCTTCCCTCTTGTTCTGGGTGAGTGCAGGCCAGCAGATGGACCTTAGCTGGTTATTTGTGAGATTTGAGGATTCAGACTTTGCTTATCCAGCTAGGAAGTAGATCATGGTGTGTGGGAAGTAGTTTTGCCGACTGACTGACTGACTAACCCATGAGACTGTCTCCAGACCAATCCCAAGTCTCATTTTTTGCCTTTTATTTTTCCCCTTTTCAAGTTTTATGTCCTTTTTTTTTCTTTATTCTAAAAATAATGCATTCAGTTGTAACAATGCACACGATATTACTCACTCACTTCTTGCACTCGAGCCTCTTGGGCTGCTGAGTATAGATCTCATGGGAGAGAGAACATGGCCCATCTTTCTCCCCAGAGCTGCTGGTTGTGAAGGCTTTGGGTCACTGGCACAGTTCTCTACGGACTACACCATCAGAGCTCTCTTAAATTATACAGAAAGGTAGAAGAGTGTATTTTTAATAATTCAGTTTTACAGCCCATTTTAATATTTCTTATTAAAATAACAATATTTAAGTCCTGTGTATATTAATGTGTATGTTTTTTAACAGAATGGGATTTTGTTTTGTGTGTTTTTCGTTTTGTTACAACTTTTCTGTCTTTTTTTATTAAGAATTCCTGCTAATAAACATTTTTTGAAAGCTTTTTTTTTAAATTTTTTAAAATTTTTTAATTAATTTCAGTGAACATCTACAGAGATTTTGGACTTAAAGCTTCTATTTTATGAACATATAATGGTATTAACAGATGAAACTAAGAGAAAGTAAAATTGTGTGTGTGTGTAATTATAAAATTGGGAAAAGGATGAAAGTCATGCAATTGTTGAGGACTTTTGTTCAGAGGGTTGCTATGAGTCACCTACGACTCAACGGCACTTAACCACAACAATTATAAAATATAATAATGCAGCAGAAGTTGGACATAATAGGTGACTTCGTGCTTTGACTTGAAGAACATTTATTTATTTATGAAGCACTGTTTTCCTGGGGTGGGGTATGTGTGACTGAGGGCCTACTTGTGACAGATAGTGGGGGATACCCATGACATCGTGATCTCATTTTCTTGTTTTTATTATTTAGCTCCTTAGTCCGTTAGGGCATAACTTTTTAGTACACTTAGATGTAGTGCTTTGATTATTTGAGTTTTACTTTTACTCTAGGTATATTATTCCAATCCAGCTTCTCCTTGGTTAGAACATATAGTTCAGTGTCATTGGACATTTTGAGTAGTTATATTCAACAATCTGCATTATGCAGATGGCACAACATTGCTGAAACTGAGGAGGACCTGAAGCGCTTGCTGTAGAAGGTCAAGGACTGCAGCCTTCAATATGGATTGAAGCTTGACATCAAGAAAACAAAGATTCTCACTACTGGGCCGATTGGCAGCATCATGATAGATGGTGAAGAGATTGAGATTTTTGACAGCTTCAGTTTGTTTGGCTCTACAGTCAACAGTCTTGGTACCAGCAGCCAGAAAATTAAAAGATGAATTCCATTGGGAGAGTCAGAGACCTCTCCAAGGTACTGAAGACCAACAGTGTCAGTCTGGAGACTAAGGTGTGCCTGATACAGGCCATGGTCTTTGCAGTTACTTGCTGTGCATCATAGATCTGTACAATGAGTAGGGATTATAAAAGGAGAGTTGATGCCTTTTAGCTGTGGTGCTGGAGAAGAGTATTGACTATACCATGGACTGCTAAGAGAACAAACAGGTTTGTCCTGGAGCGGGTGAAGCCAGGCTGCCCCTTGGAGGCAAGGATTCTGAAGTTTTGTCTGACATACTTTGGACATGTTGCAAGGCGGGATCAGTCCCTGGAGAGAGACGTCATGCTGGGGAGGGTAGAGGGATGGCCCAGGAGAGGAAGCCCCTCAATGAGATGGATTGATTCAGTCACTGGGATAATGGGGATAGGTGTGTTGGAGACAATGAGATTGGCAAGGGACAGAACAGGGTTTAGGGCTGTTGTTACTATGTGACAACATATTTTTTCCAACAGGATTTGTCTGCAGGCTTAGTATTAGTGATGGCTGAATTGCAGGGCTTCCTTAGAGAACTGTATATTGTAGGTGCTCTTACAGTAGATGTAAGTCAAAGCTAAATCCCAGTCAGTGGCTATACCTAAACTTACCTTCCCTGTTCTGTGTAGGCTGGATGACGCCAAAATCCTCCCTGGCAACATGAAGGACAATTTCTGGGAGATGGGTGACACGGGGCCATGCGGTCCCTGCAGCGAGATCCACTATGACCGGATCGGTGGCCGGGACGCCGCACATCTCGTCAACCAGGATGACCCCAATGTGCTGGAAATCTGGAACCTTGTTTTCATCCAGTACAACAGGTGGCCTGGGGGGGCCTGCTCCACTCCTGCTCTAAGCGGTACCTTTTCTGGATCCACGTCAGGGAGGAGGGGCTCTGAGCAGCCTGGCTGTCACCTTAGCTGACCACTCTCTTGTCCTCATCTCTGGGAACAACGGGAAAGCAGCCATGGGCAGCTGTCAGGAACCTGATGGCATATTTAAGGCCTACTCATTTATCAGGTAGTCTCATGCTAGGTCTACAACGCTGTAATCAGCATTGTCATAATAACACGGGATCTTCTTCAAGCTCTGAGCTGCAAAAGAGAATTCTCCCTCCCTCCCATGCTTCACCAGGCCAGGCAGAGGCGGGTAGGCACAGGGCACAAACCATGCTGTTTAAATGCCCTGTAGTCAGGGCGTGTGGCGGGGCGGCCAGAGTCCTTCAGTGGTCTTTCTCTGGCTCGTGCAGGGAAAATGATGGTGTTCTGAAGCCTCTCCCCAAGAAAAGCATCGACACGGGGATGGGCCTGGAGCGACTGGTGTCTGTGCTGCAGAATAAGATGTCCAACTATGACACGGACCTCTTCGTCCCCTACTTTGAAGCCATACAGAAGGTACGGGCCACCTCATAAATAGTGCAGAACCAACATCACAGTGCCCCAACTGGGTCCTTAGCAGAGCTGACAGAGATCAAAGTGCACTGGGCCCATCTGCCTCCTTCGTTGCTCTAGCCACCAAGTACTCTAACTTGTGGAGTGTAAGAGGATTGGCTGCAAGTTTGAGCTTCTCGCACCTGCATGATGGTCCCCTATGTGCTAAAGCTCCCTCAGTCCTCCGAGGACGAGCTGGGGCCCAAGTGACTGATCCTGACGGGCCTCCTGGTGTTCTCTGCAGGGCACGGGGGCCCGGCCGTACACTGGACAGGTTGGCGCCGATGATGCTGATGGGATTGACATGGCCTACCGGGTGCTGGCTGACCACGCGCGGACCATCACCGTGGCGCTGGCTGATGGCGGCCGACCCGACAACACGGGCCGGGGGTGAGTACATCACACATACGTGGGGCAGAGTTGGGACGAGCACTGTGCTTCTGCTTCTACTCAAAGAGCTGCCCTGTGTTACATCTTTGCTCCTGAGCATGAGATGGGAAGAATCACATTCCTCTCCTCTGATGTTGATAGGGTGAGGGGAGCAGGTATCTCACCCCACTGATGGCAGGGCCTGGAAGCCCGAGCGTGGAGCCTGCCATCTGGTCAGTGTGTCTGGATCAGCAGAGTGTGGAAGGAAGAGAAACCAGGGTTGCTTCCGGTCACCCTTGCTGTGTATTCAGAGCTAAGCTGGTGGGGATTTTGCTTGGAAGTATGTTAGAGGAGAACGCAAAAAGAACCAGGCTTACGGTAGAAGTCCTTGGACTTGCTTTACTTGGTGGGGAACGTTGCTGAGCCGGGGACTGTGTTCTGCCTCTTCCAGGTATGTGCTGAGACGGATTCTCCGCCGCGCTGTTCGGTACTCCCACGAGAAGCTCAATGCCAGCAGGGGCTTCTTCGCTACCCTGGTGGATGTTGTCGTCCAGTCCCTGGTAGGCATAGGCCCTGCTTCCCTCATCTGTGCTGCAGGAAATGCTTTAAGATGGCTCTAGAGGGAGGCAGCATACTGTTCAAGAGAATTCTCGAAGGGGGTCACAGGGTGGTCACTGGGCTCACTGGGTCCCTCATCTCCGTTCCCCCTTGGTCAGGGAGATGCATTTCCTGAGCTAAAGAAAGACCCGGACATGGTGAAGGACATCATCAACGAAGAAGAGGTGCAGTTTCTCAAGACACTCAGCAGAGGGCGCCGCATCCTGGACCGGAAAATCCAGAGCCTGGGAGACAGCAAGACCATTCCCGGTAGGGACCAGGTGTTCCTCTCGCCCACGGGCTGCTTTCTGTATAAATGGGGCTTCTAGTAAAATGACAGAAGTAGTAGTAAACTGCAGTGGTAAAATATTTCAGAAAATACTTATCCATATCTATCTATCTAGTAAAATAGTGAAAATCTTCTTTCTCAAACTCATTTCCCAGAGACGAACTCCTCTTAAAAGAGTTCTGTGTATAACTAGTCAGGATTGTTCTCTATTCACATAAATATATGTCCATATTTAGGCGTGTAGGTAAGGACTTTTGGTAGCACAGTGGTTAAAGACTTGGCTGCAAACTCAAAGGTTGGTGGTTTGAGTACGGTCACTCCTTGAGTAAAAGATGTTGGCAGTTTGCCTCTCTAAAGATTTGCAGTCTTGGAACACTTTGAGGACGTTTTACTCTGTCCCTGTGTTGAGTGGTTATTGGTTGAAATTAATTTGGCAATGGCAGATTTGATGTGTGCATTTTATATTAAGGAAAAATAGAAGATGCCATATAACTTTTTAAACTTGGGTTAGTTTTCACTGGAAAGGAACATTACCTTCACAAGAGTAAAAACAAAACTTTGATACATAACATGTGAAGGGAAGCTTGATGAGCTTTCGTGACATGAACACGCCTGGTGGTCCTCTGTATCTCCTCGGAGTTAAGTCCGAGAGATCTGACAAGTGATACCGACTTGCCTCGTCTCCTGGCCAGCGTCCTCCCGGGAAGGGCTCGCACAGAGGTGTTTCTTCTGACACTGTCCTTGCCTGCACAGGTGACACTGCTTGGCTGCTCTACGACACCTACGGCTTCCCAGTGGACCTCACCGGGCTCATTGCTGAAGAGAAGGGCCTGGTGGTAGACATGGACGGCTTTGAAGAAGAGCGGAAACTGGCTCAGGTAAGCATCTGGGGCCGGGAAGGTCAGTGCCTACCTGTCAAGGCCTGCCTGTTGAAGCAAGCAGGGTGGCTGGTGTTAAAGGCATGAACATTCTGGATTTCTCTAGACCAGTACGTCTCAGCTGCGTGCAGTTGTGAACCCCTGGAGACATCTGATCTACTTTAAGATTACTAATGCTTATTTTTAGGAGCCCCAGAGGCCAAGTGGTTAACTTAGGCTGGCGGTTAAGTGCTCAGCAGTTTAAACCCACGAGTGTCTCTGCAAAAGACTTGGTGATCTGCTCCCGTGGAGATTTACAGCCTCGGAAACCTCACGGGGCAGCTATGCTCTGTCCTGTAGCATCGCTCAGCGCTCGCCAGCCCCCAACAACCACAACACACTTCTTTTTCTGGCAGCTGAAATCTCAGGGCAAAGGAGCTGGTGGGGAAGACCTGATCATGCTGGATATTTATGCCATCGAAGAGCTCCGGTCCAGAGGTCTGGAGGCCACAGATGACTCCCCAAAGTACAATTACCATTCAGATGCCAGTGGAAACTATGGTATGCTACTGCACTCCTTCCCCCATGGCCATTTCTTACCCTTGTACTTGGGAGTCTTGAGAGATGACTCAAAGTTAAGAGGTGTCTGTGTATCTTTGAGCACCTCTACTGGAGTTTGCCTATTCATTTTGTAACGGTTTAAGATAATTGTAGATTTTGGTTTGAGATAATTGTAGATTTATGGGAAGTTGTGAGTTTTGGGGGTTTTTTTTTTGCAGTTTTTTAAAATTAATTTTAATGAGGGGAGCTCTGGTGGCCTAGTGGCAGGAAGCTACACTGTAATCTCTGAGGTGCGTAGTTCAAATCCACCAGTTGCTCTGCTGGAGAAGGAGGGACAATCTCCTCCTGTACCAGTCAGATCCGATTTGACAGTACACACAAAATAATGATATAAAAAAAAATCATTTTCATGAAAGGAAGTTGTGTTTTTAAAAGAACAACAACATGGGGGTGGGAGTGCTGTAGGAAAGTATATGAACCCTTCAAACAGTTCCCCAGATTGTAGCTTCTTGCACAGCTGTAAGACCAGACAGAAACCAAAGTTGACATTGAAACAGTTCACAGTGGAGTTCAGCTTCGCATCAAGATCGTATTAAAAAAAAAATCGTGGTTTGCGTATTAAAAAAAAATTGTGTTTTGCGTGGCAGGGAGTACTCGTAATCTTACTCTTAATTCTCTCACCAGGCAAGTGCATAGAATTGTGCTTGTGAATCCACCTGGGATAAGGATGTGCAGCTCTTACAGACCTACTCCTGAACTGGCTCCTGCGCAACAGCTCAGGGCCAGAGTCCCAGGAGGCCTCCTCTTAGGGACAGCTGGCCATCCTGAATGTTGAGTTTTCTGATGGAAACCAGTGAGCTGAGCCCTTTCATGGAATTCGATGAGCTAGCATCCAAGATAAAATTAGGCCAGGAGAGGGTTTGAGACACAGCACCTGCAAGAGCCAGCTAAGGAGGTGCAAGCAGAACCCAAGCCCTGACCGCATCTCCTTCTGTGCGTTTTGCCTCGAGCAGTGTTTGAGAACGCAGTGGCCACGGTGATGGCTCTGCGCAGGGACAAGATGTTCGTGGACGAGGTGTCCACAGGCCAGGAGTGTGGCGTGGTGCTGGACAAGACGTGCTTCTACGCTGAGCAAGGCGGGCAGATCTATGACGAAGGCTACCTGGTCAAGGTTGAGGACAGCAGTGAAGACGTGAGCCTCCAGTTCTTTCTCATAACCTGCCACAGTGCCGGCGAGGGGGGGGGGGCTGTTCTCTCTGCTCAGCACCCCAGGCCGGAGGTGGGGGGCTGAGGGGTGGGGGAAGGGGAATGACACACGTCAGCGGGCAGAGCTCTGTGCCGGGGTTTCTTAGGACAAGGGGCCTGCTCCTTGGAGTGTGCTACTTCCACACCTGCTGGGCCCCCCATCACCGGGTTCCGTCCTTTGAACCCAGGTAGGGTGACCCTCCATTCCCATGTGTTTTCCTGACAAGTGAGGAGCTATAGCAACGAAGGTCGCCATCCTGTACAACGCAGCCGCCAGTCGGCCTGAAGGGAATATGTAGCCTTCCTGTGGCTCAGATCTTTAACTTTTGAATTCTCTAAGATACTCCGTGTGTGTGTGTGTGTGTGTGTGTGTGTGTGTGTGTGTGTGTGTGTGTGTGTGTACACACACGTGATACAGTGTATGTATGTGCATGTATGTTCATGATAAGAGAGTCTTAGGAGTCTGGGTATGTGTCTTTATGCATGTGCATATATATCTTAAGACGATGTGTGCCCACCTACCTGTCTCTCCCTTGGCCCGTGTAGAAGACAGAGTTCACAGTGAAAAACGCGCAGGTGCGAGGAGGGTATGTGCTGCACATAGGCACAATCTACGGCCACCTGAAGGTGGGGGACCAGGTCCGCCTGTTCATTGATGAGGTGAGTTGGGTCTGGCAGTTCAATTTCTTACCACTAAGCCACCAGAGCTCCCGTGGAAAAGATCAGATAGTAAATATTTTCAGCTTTTCAGACTGTTCTCCATCACGACTGCTCGGCTCTGCTTTACAATGCGAAAGCAGCTGTACCCAGTGTGTAAACCAGGGGGCACAGCCGTGATCTAACAAAACCCCACTTATAAACACGGAGGGTAGGACGGATGTGGCCTGCAGGCTGTAGGTGGCCAGCCTCAGGTTAGGCAGTGGGGGATAGATGGAAGGAACATCAATTCTGCTCAATAGCCCCCCAACAGTAGTAGGAGGCGGAGCGGTCCTTAGCCATGCTCAGCTGCGGGCGGCAGCCCCGTGTCCAGGGAAGAGTTGTGCTTGAGAAGAAGGGAAGACAGGCCTACTGCGGGCCTTTGCATCTGCCCCTCTGCTCCCCCAGCCCCGACGCAGACCTGTCATGAGCAACCACACGGCCACCCACATCCTCAACTTCGCCCTGCGCTCAGTCCTGGGGGAAGCCGACCAGAGAGGCTCCCTTGTTGCCCCTGACCGCCTTCGGTTTGACTTCACTGCCAAGGGAGCCATGTCCACTCAACAGATCAAGAAAGCTGAAGAGATTTCCAATCAGATGATTGAAGCGGCCAAGGTAGGTGGGGCTCTGGGCTGGCGACAGCATCGCCTTCTCCCAGCAGAGCCCAGCTGCCTGATGGCTCTGGTGCTGCTGGACCATCCTGCACTAGATCCACCTTGCTCGCAGATCTGTGTCAGCTGTGCTGGGGAGTGAGGGGAGAGGTTGCTGCTTCACTCCCGTCCTCAGGACAGCCTGGGTCCACTGGTCCTGTTAGCAGTCCCACAGAAGCTCTGGTCGCCGTGTGACAGACCACTGGGAAGTCCTGCCTTGGCCTCCCTGGCTTTGCACAAGCTACTTAAGGCCCCTCATCTTCGCAGGGCTGAGCTCTCCCTGCCCTTTTCATGGTCCCCCAGAGCATCCCTGTGTCTCCTCTCCCTGGCAGCCCGTCTACACCCAGGACTGTCCCCTGGCAGCAGCCAAAGCCATCCAGGGCCTGCGGGCTGTGTTTGATGAGACCTATCCTGACCCTGTGCGTGTCGTCTCCATCGGGGTTCCAGTGTCCGAGCTGCTGGAAGACCCTTCCAGTCCTGCCGGCTCCCTCACTTCGGTCGAGTTCTGTGGGGGCACGTGAGTACCTTGGGGAGTGGTAGGCAGGGGGGCCACCGGCTTTGTGAATTTGGTCTTGTCCTTTGAGGAAGTAGACGGAGCAAGGCCCTTGGGTGCTTTCTGATGTGGAAATGAACTTGCTACATAGCATCTCAAGAATCCGGGTGCCCAGGCTGGCCCCTCCTTGTCTGACCTTGTCTTTGTGGGTGTGAGATGTGCTTGCTCGCTGCCTGGGCTGGGTCGGGGTTCAGAACACTCCTGCATGGTGCTGAGCCTTGGGGTCCTCCACGGTCCACGGGGTCTTCACGAGGAAGAACCCAGTGATCTGGGAATCCCCTGATTCTAAAGGAGGCTGATAAAAAGGACCTTCTTAAGATCACAGCAGGGCTCCCTGCAAGCCTTGGGCAGGTGGGGTGGAGGAGAGGGGTGAGGACCTGAGGGGCCAAGTTCTCGGCCTCCAAGTGACTCTCATTGGACCTTAATGCCAGTTTACATGGGACTCTTTAGAACACACACCCAAAACATACCCGAAAATAACGAGCAGTGGCAAAGACCTATTACCTGATAGGCTTGTCTAGTGCTTCCCTTTGGCACTGTACCCGCGTCACCCCTTGAGAGAGCTCTCTGGGGCCAGCTGTTGGTGGGGTTTGGACTTCCTCACGAGTGGCCCCAAGGTGTGCCTGGGGGGGCACAGGCAGCTCGACGTTTCTTCCACTGGGAACTTTGTCCTCTGCGATCCAGGCACCTGCAGAACTCAAGTCACGCAGGACCGTTTGTGATAGTCAGCGAAGAAGCCATTGCCAAGGGCATCCGAAGGATTGTGGCGGTCACCGGTGCCGAAGCCCAGAAGGTGAGTGGGTCAGGTGGTCATGACTAACATGGGCGAGGAGAACCGCCGGCGACTCAGAGTGCGGTTACGTGGCTTCTGCAGGCGGAACTGAAGGGGTACAGGCTGGGCCTCCCCGAAGAGCTTCCTCCAGTGTGCCCCCCGGCTGGCGGAGAGCCCCCACCAGTGAGGATTCCAGCCTCAGGCCTGGGAGATACAGCTTGTTGCGTTTCGGGTGCCCCTGGCATACAGTCCTGGGGCACATGCTTGGTTTTGAGAGACTGGGGGAGGAGAGCTGTTGCTTTAAGGGTGGGAACTGAAGCGTGTGCCTGGTTTGTCCCAAAGTCTGAGGGTGATCATATCATGGGGAAGAGGGTGCCTGCTTCACAAGCTCTTGGGCACCCCCAAATTTGAGTCAGGGTGCAGCCTTCCTGCTGGCCAGGTGTGTGCAGAAGGGCCATCGAGCTGCAGACACTTGCTCCCCGAAGAAAGAAAAACTTATAGCATTTGGAGTGTGTTGTTTCAACCTCCCATCCTCGGGCCTCATTGTGGTCACTTCCAGACGGAAGAACGAAGCCGAAAGCTCCCCGCCCCAGCCTGTCTCCCTCTGCTCGCTCCCCCAGGCCCTCAGGAAAGCAGAAAGCCTGAAGAAATCGCTGTCTGTCATGGAGGCCAAAGTGAAGGCCCAGACTGCGCCCAACAAGGATGTGCAGCGGGAGATTGCTGACCTGGGAGAGGTAGGCTCCCGTGGAGAGAGAGCTGACCCGGGAGAGGGGGGCTCCGGCGGGGAGAAGACAGCTCACCCGGGAGAAGGGAGGCTCCAGCAGGATGAACATCTGACCTGCTCCGTAGGGAGACAGCTGAGAGGGAGGCTTCATCGCCTGGGCCCGATGTGTTCCTCAGTCCTTGGATTCCTTGGTGCAGGGCAGCCAAGTCATGATTCTCAGTGGGACAGGGTTCGACTGGCTGGTCTGCAGCCCTAACAGGGGACACCGGGCTTCCTGCTCATGGACCCCCACCTCCACCTGTCCTTGGAGTTGGGAAAATTCTTGGAAGACCCCTGATGTTTATCATGATGCAAGGCCTTCCCAGGCTCCACGCCAGCTCTCCCTCCAGCCCTGTTAGAGCCAGTGCGCTTGCTCACTGGGTGACTGTTGTCCCAGCCGGAGACACCTATTGTTTCCTTCCTGCTCTCCTTCTGGTCACTTGATGGGGACTTGAGTAGTCAAGGTCAGGGGCGGGGCTGTGTGCCCAGTCAGCATCATACGGCCTTCCTCTTGTCCAGGCCCTGGCCGCTGCCGTCATCCCTCAGTGGCAGAAGGATGAGCTGCGGGAGGACCTCAAGTCCCTGAAGAAGATCATGGACAACCTTGACCGCGCCAGCAAAGCCGACGTGCAGAAGCGAGTGAGTGGCCTGGCTGGTGGCTGGCAAGGGGAGGCCGAGGTGTGCTCAGCACGGGCCAGGGGCTCCTAGGGTGGGAGGCCGCTGCCTTCTGTGAGGGGCCCACTGGCCTTCCTTCCCCACAGGTGTTGGAGAAGACCAAGCAGCTCATTGACAGCCATCCCAACCAGCCCCTCGTCATCCTCGAGATGGAGAGCGGAGCCTCGGCCAAGGTACCCAGGCGTCCCCTCCTCATGTACTCAGCTGTGCTGTGGCTCTGAGGGCCCACTGTCAGTGTGGCAGTCAGCCTGGGTCCAGCACTGGGCCCCTCCCACAGCCTCCTGGGACCAGCACCCTCTCTCTGGATGTGGGATGTGGCTGGGGGGAGGCGGTCCGGGGCCTGAATCCGCAGACTCGCTGCTTGTGAGCAAAGTGTGACCCTGGCCCCAAGGCGGTGGCCTGAGTGAGACTCTTCCCACAGGCCCTGAACGAAGCCCTGAAGCTTTTTAAGACACATTCCCCTCAGACAGCTGCCATGCTCTTCACGGTGGACAACGAAGCTGGCAAGATCACCTGCTTGTGTCAGGTCCCCCAGGTAGGAACTGTGATAGGCCCCACGCCCTTCAGGGTGGGTCTGTGGCAGCACTGCCCCCCACAGCCTGTCAAGGCTGCAGAATTCTGTGCAGCCCCCACCTGATGGCTGTTCCCCTGGCACCTGTACTTTTTTTAAAGTATTAAGCTTTACTGTAATTAAATAGTACATTGCTATCATTGTTAGGCACTGATTTTCAATCCATAGTTTGCATGTGACAGAGTAGAACTGACATAGGTTTTCGTGGGCTGTGGGGTCACACTTGTCAGAGGTGAGGTTGGCTCAGGGCAGGGCAGAGTTCAGAGCTGTTGTTCATAGAGTTGCCGTGAGTGGCGGTCAACTCGACGGCACGTAACAAGAACAGTCGTGACAAGGGAGCTCTGGTGGTGTAGTCTGTAGGGAGCTTAATGCTAATCCAGAGGGTGAAACTCCAGGGGTTCAAATCCACCCACCAGCCACTCCTGGGGAGAAAGATGGGCCATCTCCGCCCACGTGCGTTACAGCCTCGGGAACCCAACAGAGTCTGTTCTGACTCATTGGCAGTGAACTTGGATCTATGGGAGCAGATTACTGTGTGAGTTTGAATTGAACCCCTTTTCCATTAACAGCCAGGTACTTGACTATTAAGCACTAGGACTCCTTCAATAGTATTTTGAACTTAAATAATAGAAAAAGTTGGTATTGTTTGTTAATTAAAAACTTTGAAAAGGAGCGTTTGATCCAAACCAAGCTTATTCCTGTCATATGCTTCCAACTCATGGCGTCCCTACGGGACAGAGTGGACCTGGCCTTTGTCCTCATTGCCAGGCCCTTGGCCCTCAGGCCTTTTCTTTCCTGAATGAGTAACTGGATTGGCCGATGCAGAGCTTTGTCCTTGGGACATCCTTGCCCCAGCGGGACCACTGATTGCCTGGAACCAGCTCTCGAGTCTGTCTATACCTCTGACAGCTGCTCATGTCTTCACAAAGGGCAGGTGTGGTCTCTATCCTGTCTGACTCCCACTCTCCCTTCCTGTCTTCCAGAATGCTGCCAACCGAGGCCTCAAGGCCAGTGAGTGGGTGCAGCAGGTGTCCGGCCTGATGGACGGCAAAGGCGGTGGCAAAGACGTGTCTGCCCAGGCCACAGGCAAGAATGTGGGCTGCCTGCAGGAGGCGCTGCAGCTGGCCAGCTCCTTCGCCCAGCTCCGCCTGGGAGACGTGAAGAACTAAGGAGGGGGCGGCTTCCACAGGGAAGCGAGTGCCCCTCACCAGGAAGCATCCGTCCACCTGCTGCAAGGATGTTCAGACCCTAGACTCTGAGCAGCCCGTCTGCCTTCCTTGCCTGGCACTAACTGGAACACAGTCCAGGCACTGTCCTGCCCGTGACTCGGTGCCCACTTCACATGTCCACCTCCAGCCCTGTAGTCAGCGCCATCTGTCCAGAACCACTAACCCAGGATTGCTGTTCGCCATCGCCCTGCACTTGTCTCTACCTGGAAGCTGTACTTCTCTGCAGGCCTGAGACTTTTGGGTCTGAGGGTAGGAATCATTTTTGCTGCACAGAATAAAAGGACCATGTGCAATACTTGACGATTCCTGTGATCACCACCCCAGGCTCCCCTGGCTCACGGCCAGCGGTTCACCACAGGCAGGATAAACGCCGCGGCTGCAGCTGGCTCCTAGCTGTCAGGCTCAGTCCTTCCCGAGTCCAGCCCAGGCCTGTGAACTCTGGGAGTGTTTGGAGATGTGTGGCGGTCTCCAAGGCCTGCTGTGCGTGGACGAGGTGTAGAGAGGCCACTGCTAGGAGTGATGAATGGGCCATATGAGATCAGAGTGTGCTTTAGACAGGTGTCAGGGTCAGCCACTGTTTCCCATCCAGTAATCACTCACCATTCTTACTTCCTTGACCCAAAGGTGGGCAGGATAACCTGCCTTGGCCCCAAATCAGTTCACCTGGCTGAAGACTGCTGGGTTTGGACACAGTGTTAGGAGGGCAGTTAAAAAGCACCATTGCTATGATGGCTGTGATAGATCAGATGCCCCAGGTACAGCAGGAAGCAGAGGAGAGAAGGTTAGAAAGTAGGTGCATTCAAGGAGCAGCAGCAGGGGGTGGATGTCTGCCAGCATAGGGGGAGAAGCAAGCGGAGGGAGGGTGCTGAGGCCTGGTGCTGCTGGGACCATCAGGCCAAGTGTCCAGATGCAAACGTGTTTGTGCAACTAGGAGTGAGAGGAACAAACACATCTATTCATTCTACAGCGTTTACAGCAGTGATCACATCTTGCTTGGGTCCACAGTCAACACCTGGGCCCCAGCACTCAAGAAATCAAAAGATGTTCTGTACTGGACAACCTGTCAAGGACCTTAAGAACAATGCCTTAAGAACAATGATAGCTGTTTAAAGTTATGCATCTGAAAATTGGACAGCGGCTAAGGATGACAGAAGAATCAATGGCTCTGAGATGTGATGTCAAAGAATACTGAGTATCTCAGGGACTGCCAAGAAAACAAACAAATAAGTTTTGGAGAAAATGCAGCCAGGGCACTTGGAGGCAAAGATGGTGAGGCTTTGTCTTACATATGTTGGGTGTGTCAGGAGGGGTTATTCCTTGGAGAAGGACATGCTCTGAAACGTGTAGGATGAGCTAAATCGAGGAATACTCAGTGAGCCAGATTGACAATACCTGTAACAAGGGCTCAATCAAGCAAAGTTCTGGTCCACATTCATGGGGTCACTATGGTCACCTAACAGCTCACAGAGGAAGGGAATTAAGAGAAAAAAAGGGAGTGGTGGAGAACACGGACGTAAAATAGATCATTAACTGCAAACTAAACGAAGGCCAATCTTGCCGAGTTCAGGGCTCTCAGGGCTCGCCTGGCGGCGCGGGTCTATGGGCTCTATGGGACCCGCCGTTTCTCCTCCGAGCCAGCAGGGGGCAGGGCCCTTCGAACTATCCCGACAGCCCCCGCGCTGTCGCGTGTCTTAACAGGGCGGAAAAGCGGCGCGCGGAGCCCGACTGCCGGAAGCGGCTTCCACGCGCGGCTCGGTCATGCCTGGCGACCACCGCCGCATCCGCGGCCC